CAAGTCAGCAAGAGTCTTTCCATATACCTGAGTAAGCCTTGGATCACGTCCCTGCTGCTATGCAAATAATAATTCAGGGAATCCTGACTGCCCATACTTCTTTCTTTCTGTTTTCTTCCTCAAAACAGGTCTTGTGAAAGGCACTTGGCTTCTTTGCCTTTGCTTTTAATCCATCCACTTTATCACTCTCCCTGTTTATTAACATACTGACTTGTCCTCAGTCAAATACATTCTTGGGGAACGGGGCCTTGCATGTGTGAAAATTCTTCTTATCCTCCCTGGCCATTACAGCCTCACCCAGGATCCTTATCATTTCTTCCCAAGAATTACCCGGCTAGTCATGCTGCTGTTTGGTTGCCACCCCTTTTTCACATGCAGCAGCTATCTTCTTTTAACAGGGGTTTCAGACCTGAGCTAGCTTCTGCTGCTTCTTTGCAGCCATCTATTGGAGTGGCAGTCATACCCTCCCCTTCTGTCTTTTGCTTCTTCCTTTTTCTACCTCTTCTTTATTTTCTCTTGGGATCCTTTTGCTTTGCCCCCTTGCATTTGGCCATTGCTTCAGATTCCTCCTCTGCCAGCTCCTCATTGCCTTTTACCTCTGCTGCTCCCCTTCATGATATACAAAGCAGCAGAGCACAAGCCAAGTGTTGCAGGCTGGTGCTTTCACTCGTATCTACCTCTGATGAGGCCAAAGCCCTCACAAGGGACTATTGACAACAGTTATTGACTGACACCTGGGTTGGCTGCTTAAATGCATCTCAAGGTTAGTATGCCTCTGACAGCACTTTGTATCAGAGGCCGTGTTGCCTGACAAGTCTTGGGTGGCTGTCTTCTCTGCTCAAGACCCCTCTTTTGTTTTAATCAAACATAAAATGGGCCTTACAAACTCACCATCGTGTCCCTGTGGCAAAGGAGATAGGACAGCCCAGCATATACTAACTGATTGCCCTCCATATGGTCCACCAGAGGGAGCGAGCAGTCTGAAAGATTGTAGTAATATTGATGGATCTGCTCTTAAATGGTTGGAGGAGTCGACTTTCTGAAGTCATACGTGAGGAGAAGAAGATGACCCCTCTCGGATTCCAGTGGCACAGCTGTGCATATTCCTTATTCTGAATGCCCACAAGGACCTTCCCCTTCCTTTTCTGCACTCATCCCCACTTCAGGCAGTGGGGCAGCCTCCTCACTGGATGTTACCCCTGTCCCAAAACTTTTTGCAGGACTGGAGTTGCCTCTCCAAATGTCCTTTGGGTTCTCCAAATCTGCATGCCCCTCCTGTGAGAGCCTTCCTGCAGCAGGTCAGGAGTTGAACTAGTCACAGCGGGATGCTGCTTTGGGAGCCTGTGGCAGTCTCCTAGCCAAGGATCTTGCAGTGCCTCAGAGAGAAATCTGGTGGTTTCTTCAGAGGGGGGGCCTGCTAGGTTTCAAGGCCCTTTTTTTACTGCCACGGCTGTTTTTGTCAGTCTCTGAAAGCTACCTGTTGGGAAGAAAAAGAGAGGCTTAGCTCTTCAGTGAATGAAAGTACATGGGACTGGGCAGCCTTCTAGGGGAGTGTTGTGGGGAGATAGTAAATATTTAGTTAGAAATGGCAGGGGTGGTGGGAAGTGTGGGTTTGCTATGGAAGAGGATGAAGGTTTGCTTGCCAGTTGGAAATTTTGGGCCACGTAGTAATTCCCAGCCATCCCTCGCTGGTGGGATAGCATTGTCCCTAATTTAACACCTGCTGTGTTTGCTTGTGTCCCACACAAACTTGCTGTTGTATGTAAATGGGGCAAAGAAAGTGAGACATCAGAAATGCTGGGTTATGGTGCTGAGGTTAGAAATGGCTCCAGTGTCCCTAGAAATGCCCCAGAGTAACGGGTTTGAATCCTGCTGCAGTCAGCCTTGGCCGTCATGCTGCTAAATGAGACAAACTGAATTCTGCTGAGTTTGCTGCATGTGTGCCAAGGGCCTTTCAAATGAGTCCTGAAAAAGCAGGGCTATGACTTTGAAAAGCGACTGGGGTATTGAAGTCAAAGTAGATAGATTTCCACGAGTACCCATCCTCTGAGCATAAGGCCTTTTTTAAAATGTCTCAGGCTGAGCACCCAGAATTACTGCTTACTGCTCCCTGACAGCCTGTCTATTCTGCATGGGCCATAAAGATCTGGGGGCATTTGTCACAAGTAGGGGTGCAGCAGTAAAGATTTTCTTGGCTGATATTGATAACCGATTATTAACCAGCCATATCAGCTGATATCGGTCTGATAACTTGGGGGTTGTAATAATGCAAAGCATTTTAAACTACTGACACCCCAATTGGTGTCCAATTGCACGCAACTCCCACCTCCCCACCCCTCCCTGTTCCACGTCCAGCTGCCGGGGGTACATGGCTTCGTGTTCGGCTGCCGAGGGTACAGTGATCCAAAAAGGTTTAAAACCCCTGTGATAAATGATATTTAGTAATTGTTGAACAAGCTTTAGTTCAAGTGCTCCCATTGCCATTTCTAAGCGTGGGGACGCTGAGGCAGCAGACATGCAGTCCTTTATTTAGAGCTGCTCTCAGAGCCACTGTAATTAATATCACAATATCACTATATTAATATCACAATATTAACAATATCAGTTACAATGGCCAAAAAAGCCGATAATGTTAATTTTCCTTTTATTGATGCTCATCTGATATGCAACCGATATGTCAGTGCGTCTCTAGTTAGAAGAGAAAAGGATTTACCCCATAGCTAAAACTCTCTGCTCCCCATTGCTGCACTGTCATGCAGTTGCTGGGTTTGAAGTGGTCCCCAGACCCAGAGGTGACTGCATCTCGGCAGTGAGATTCCAGGAGAAATGGAATCCCCTGTGTCTGTGGCTTGTAAAGCACTTTGTAGGGTGTGGAGAGAGGTTCTTGTGTAAATATATTTCATGGTAACAGTTTGCTTGACACTTGGCAAACTGAAAAAGACAACACAAGGCAAACAGGGAGCGTCTTAAAATTACAGGCAGTGCAGTTTAAGCGGATTATCACATGCACACAGATACGCTGGACAAATAGCTCTTCCCAGTTCTTATTGCATGTAGCTGTTTCAGGCACTGGTTAGTTCTTCTGCCTAGTAGCAGTCATAATAGTCCTTTGCACTTACAGAACCCCTTCCAGCTCAAGCCTCTGAGTATTTTGCAGGCATAAATGGGGTGATAATTCTTGCAAGATTCCTGTGAGCTGGAGAAACACCATCTGCAATTTGAAGGTACAGAACCTGTAGCACCCAGGGCGACATGATGTGTCCAAAGCCACATGGTTTGGCAGTGACGGGGCTTGGATTAGAACCCATGGGTCCCCGCCCTGATCTTTGCCTACACAGCCATTCTTCCCTTCATAAGGTGATGATAAGCAGGGATCCTGGTTTTCTCTGATTTAAAAAAATCCCCAATTTCAGATAAAAAAAAACAAACACACTCCAAATCCACATTTTTCTGTGATTAAAATGAAACGCCACTAATACATGATGTAAATATGTGGATTTGGGGTTACTTTTTTTAATCTGAAAATTGGGGATTTTTTCCCCAATATATATTAGTGGCATTTCATTTTAATCAGGAAAAAATGGGGATTTGGGGTTACTTTTTTAATCTGAAAATTTAGGATTTTTTTAAATTGGAGAAAACCAGGATCCCTGATAAGTGTCATTTTTAGCACTGAGACCCAGCTGGGAGTTTTGTCTCAGCCCTAGGCCCTGGTGGTGTTTGTCTTGCTAATACATGCAGCATCCCTTTTCCCCAACTCCTAGACTCCCCGCAGAACCTGGTTGGGCCAAGTCTGGGTATAGAGGTTGCTGTCGCAATGAGGAGTGGGAGTTGTGCTCTCTCCTGGGACAGTTCAGTTCTCCCTGGCTTGGGAGCTGCATAACAGCAGAGATACATGGGGTGAAGTGGCAGCTGCCATCCCTCTCTATCTGCCCACCCTTCCCTAATTGCTCTTGGACAGCAACCTTGTAAGGAGCTTCCTGGCCCAGCCTGCCACTGGGGACTCTGTGCAGTCTGTGTTTGAAGAGCTGAATGTGAGGAAATGGCTTGTTTAGGGCTTTCCCTTCCTAGAAGGGCCTCTGCTGGGATTCAGAGAGGACCCAGCCAAGGGTGAGGTGGGGGAAGGGAAAGAAAGAGGACCTAGTGCCTAGCATCTCCTGTGAGCTTGTTCTGTCCCTTGCATCTCCTTCCACTCCTTGGAAAGCCTCTGGCAGTGAGGGAGCATGCACGCTGGGTTGGTGAGAGAAGGGAGCTGTGGCTGGCCTCCCCTTTATAGTCCCAGATCTGGAGGGTGCAGGCTGGATGAGAGTTTGTGCTTCAGCATCTGGAGTTGGAGACTCAGCCTCTAAGCTGTCACCCCCATACAGCTTCCTTTGGCTTGGAGCTCATGCTCTTGTGTGCTGTGAGCTGAAGCTCCCTTAATGCAGTATCAGCCTCTTGCTGTGTGCCTGTTTAGCCCCCTGCATGGCTATGCTGTGCCTGGAGAAGCAGTAAGCCACTTATGTGTAAAAACCCTTAGTTTCCAGCTGCCTCACTCAGCCCAGCACTGTGGTGTTTTTTCATGGGCAGGCAAGCCAGAGGAGGGCCTTGCAGTGCATGGGGCAGTGGCGTGGGACAATGAGACCATGACACATTTCAGCCTGCCTGTAAATTTTGCTAGAGGCCAAGTCAGTCTGCAGTATTGCTGTCTTTTAAGCTGATCCTCTGCCTCTGTCTTAGTTAGCTTCACCTCCTGGTATGAAGCTCCCCTCAGTTTCTCCAAGTTGCACATGTTTGCCTGGAACATTGTTATCCCTAGTGGTATGAGCAGCATCTCTCTGTCACCTGGTATCAGGACGCATGCCAGGGGGTACAGCAGAAATCTGGCTCACAAATGAGGCAGTGATCTGCTCAGTTTCTGGTTCTGCTGTCTGTCTGTGCCCTGAATCCCTGACCTGCACAGACCATTTGCTGCCTTTCCCAGGATGCATTTCATGTTTGAATATGCTTGTGTCCTGCAGCCAGGCCCAGTTTGAGGAAGGCGGCCAGAAACAGCAAGTGGTGGGGCAATGGAAGCCGCTAGTGCCTTCCAAAGGTGGAAAGGAGCTGCTGGAGTCGAAGCCTTGCTGCCTGGATGCTGGAGGAGGGGATGAGACCCAGTCCACTGCTCAGCTCAATGTCTCCCGTCTACGCAGCTCCTCGGTGGAGATCCGGGAAAAGGGGTCTGAGTTCCTAAAGGAGGAGCTCCACAAAGCACAGAAGGTAAAGCTCTGAACTGTAAAGCTCAACCTCCCCCCATGAGCCAAATGCAGCCCACAGAGCCGTGGCATCTGGCCCATGGGACTCCCCATGGATCAGGAAATATGGCAAAGGAGGAGTGATAGCAGTTAATATGGCCACTCTCTCCCATTACTGAATTTGCATACCCCAGGGCTCATGGTGGGTCGGAGTCAGGCTATACCTCCTTCCCTCTGCCTAGTGTGGTTGGAGCTGGATGGCACCCCCTTCCCCCTGCAAGGGTGGGTCAACCCCCCTTCCTCCTGCATGGTGGGTTGGCACTGGGCTGCCTTTGCCTCCTTTGCATGGCTGGATGGGACTCTGCCAGGCCTATTCCAGATGCCAGATGAGGACCACCAGTCAGATCCGTCCCCTGGTTGAGCACCACTGCTCTGAAGACAGTCTTTCCAAAGACTGATACTCTTGTGAGCCCAAGAGTGCTGGTAGAGCTGGGGCTGAGCCTGACCTGCCTGGGAGATGGTGTTTGCTGTGACTTTGAGAGCTGGGAGGCTGAAGTTTCCATGCCTTTGAGGGTGGGAATGTGCCTCAGATGAGTTAGTGACACATGCAGTGGAGTAATTAGGGAAGGGAGTGGGGAGTTGGAGTCTGCATAGAGGTGGCTGGAGGCGGGGATGCAACATTGGGAGGGAGAGAACCGGGTTGGAGGGGCAGCTAGGCACCTTGGGAGAGAACAAGGCCTGTGGGGA